GTTTGTTTCAGTCATGTGGGACTCTGATATCTATCACATGGTGCCTCAGTGAAATAGAGGCAGAAAAAATCCCATTCTAGTATCTTATTCCATACAAAACAGAGATAGAGGTAAAAGGTGTGCATTTCAGTTATCTACTGCTGCCTAACACCCTGAAACCGAGTGGCTTAAAACAGCACCAATACATCATTGCTCGTGGGTCTGCGGTTGGCAGGCGGCGCCTCCGCTGGTTTCACCCGGGCTGGCTGCTGCAGCTGCATGGGGTGTCACTCACACGGCTGGCAGTGGTGCTGACTGTTGGCTGGGCGCCTCGCTTGTCATTTTCATGGTTCTCATTCCCTGGGAGGCTGACCCAGCTTCCTTTCATGGCGATCCAGGCAGTGTTTCAGGGACCAAAGCAGAAGCTCTAAGGCCTCTTGAGGCCTAAGCTCTGGAAATCACACAGCCTCGCTTGCATATATTCTGTTGGCTAAAGCAAAATGACAGGACCAGCCCGGAGTCGAGAGGTGGGAAAAAGAGCTACCCTTAGCATGTACGGTCTTGCTCTCCCAGTTCCCTACGGAGAATTCTGCTTGGACCAGCTCTGGTTCTAGACCAGTGGTTCTCAACCTTCCTAATGCCGCAACCCTTTAATACAGTTCCTCATGTTGTGGTGACCCCCAACCATAAAATTATTTTCGTTGCTACTTCATAACTGTAATTTTGCTACTGTTATGAATTGTAATGTAAATATCTGATATGCAGGATGTATTTTCATTGTTACAAATTGAACATAATTAAAGCATAGTGATTAATCACAAAACAATATGTAATTATATATGTGTTTTCCAATGGTCTTAGGCGACCCCTGTGAAAGGGTCATTCGACCCCCAAAGGGGTCGCGACCCACAGGTTGAGAACCGCTGCTGTAGATCCTTTCTGACCAGAGTGGAGTTAGGAGAGGAATTAAACGAGTCTCTGTTGGTTTGATTGGCTTACGTGTGGAAAGGCAGTAAGGAAGGGAAAAGAAAAGCTCCAGAGGCGAGAGGAGGGGGAGGAAAAGCAGAGCCAACCATGGCGGCTTGGGAAAAGCATCCCTTGGAATGGACCACAGGTTGGGAACTGGGTGCCCTTGATTTGGAGAAAAGAGGCCGGTTTTCCGTTCATGAAGGTACGACAGGTCCGTGTCTCTGTGTGAATCGGGGATGGGACCTTCTGGAGCTTATTGTTAAAATGGACCCCATCGTAGATTAGATTCCCCTTGGGGCCTGGCTTACGTGGACTCTATGGATGGTATACGGATACTGACTCCTCAAAGCCCAAGCCCAGTGCCGATGGCCTGTTCTTCCCCCTGACCCGCCGGACACACATCCCTCTCGCATCCCTTCTCTCCTGACTGAGCTCCCAGGGAAGGTGAGCAACCCAAGGAGAGGTGTGGGATCCTGGCCAAACAGTCCCTTCACGTGTGAGGTTTCAGGAAGAGGGGAGCAGGGAGAGCAAGGGAGCCCAGGCCATTGTTGGCTCTGCGGCTCTGCTCTGCTGTGGACTGCAGATTCACGGCCAGGGGTTTTCCTTTTTAAGCCATTTCTAAAGCCTTTAGGAATGATTTAAAATGGGGTTTTAAAAGTGTGAATGCTTTATGTGAGTGTATCTGGAAGTTGAAAGGGCCTGTGTCTCCCATCAAATGCCCTTGTGGGGGGGGGGGTGGGCGGTGGAGGCTGGTGGCCGTGGAAGGGCAGGTCATGTTGCTGAATTCAGCTGGCAAAGGTGAGCAGGCTCAGACAGCCGGTTGTTGAAGCTGAGAAGCACCCTTAGGGGGGAAGCTCAGAGACTTTACTTGGCTCAGATTTTAAACAAACACACAAAAGCTACAGAAGAATTTATTTTTCACTTTCAGAGAATAGGTATATGCTTGCCTTCAAGAGACTATTCCATGCTGAAAAATAAAAGCACTTTTAAAATTGTGCTTATTTTTATTATCAATCACTCTGTAATCCTTTTGTCCCCTTTAAAACCCTTGTCCAGCCCTGGTCTGTGTTGCTCAGTGGTTAGAGCAGCCGTGGGCAAACTACGGCCCGTTTGAAATGAATAAAACTAAAAAAAAAAAAGACCGTACCCTTTTATGTAATGATGTTTACTTTGAATTTATATTAGTTCACACAAACACTCCATCCATACTTTTGTTCCGGCCCTCTGGTCCAGTTTAAGAACCCATTGTGGCCCTCGAGTCAAAAAGTTTGCCCACCCCTGGGTTAGAGTGTCAGCTCCTGCACAGAAGGGTCAAGGGTTCGATTCCCGGTCAAGGGCACGTACCCGGGTTGCAGGTTCGACCCTTGGCCCTGGTTGGAGCACATGGGAGAGGCAACCAATGGATGTTTCTCTTCTCTCTTCCCCTCCTTCTTCTCCTCCCTCCCTCCCTTCACCCTCTCTAAAAAAATCAATGGGAAAATATCCTCAGGTGAGGATTAACAACAACAACAAAGAATAAAGGAAAATTTTATTTAAGAAAACAACAAAAAACCGTTGTTCACCTGAATCCTAAGCACTTTTCTTTCAGGAAACATCCGGCAGTAGACCCCGTAGAGCAGGTCTGGGTGAGTGTGGAGCATGCGCGGATCACTTCCCCCTTTCCCACAGCCCCGCAGCTGGCAGCTGGCGCAGCAGCAGGACCCGCAGGCCGTGCTGAACTGGTGACCACAACCTCACTGCGGAGAGGCTGCCGGTAGGGGGCGTTGTGTCCACACCGCCGGGCACCCACCCTTATGATGACACTACCAGGCTTCATAAATTGCTAGAAATTTAAAGCTGGAGGGGATATTAGAAACCATATCATCCACTGGTTTCCTTTTGCCCACGAGGAACCTGTGGTCCAGAGAGGGTAGTTAGTGGTGGAAGTGGGGCTGAAACACAGGCTCTTGACTTCCCTTCCATCCTCCTCCAACTCCCCTCACCCCCACCTCCACCCCCGTATTGTGATCTCAAATACCTTACCAGTGTATGGGGAACTATTAGAAAAGAACAGAAGATGGTAAGGTGCCTACTGCTGTTTGCCTGGGAAATCACATTTTGGGGCTTTTTACATTTGGCCTCAGAGGAACAGTCAACTCCTAACTAGTAGGGAAGAGGGGGGTGGGGAGAACTAGATAAGGAAGGTGAGGGGATTAGCAAAGAACATATATGCATACTCTGTGGACACGGACAATAGTTTGGTGAAGGCCAAGGGAGGGGGATGGAGGTGGGCAAAGGGGGGCAAAAGGGGGACACTTGCAATAATGTCAACATTAACATTTTTAAATTAAAAATTATTATAGTTAAAAATAGCACACTTGTGGGGGAAGTTACAATTTATCACAAATCACCAGAAGGTTACAATACTAAGAGAGGCAATATGTTAGTGCCAGTCCTCAGTTCTGTTATCACTTGCTGGGTGATCTTGGCCAAGTGTCTAAACTTCACTTTGCCTCATCTGTAAAATGGGGTAATCGTGTTAGTGACTAATGAGATGAGATAAGTGCTCACTTTAGGTTTTTGCATATTCTAAGGCCTCAATAAGTGCCAACAAAAACAGCAATAATAACAGTAGCAGCTATTTGGCATCTATAACTTCAACTGCAATGTAGTTGTGTCTCTTCTCCAATTGGATGTGTAGCTCTTTGGAGTAGCTTTTCTACCATCTACCAGTACCCTCTTCAGAACCAAAGTTGAACTAGCTAGGGTTAGGGAATAGGGGGTGGGTGTGGAGGGCTGGGTGGGGTGAGTGAGTGGCTATGTAGTCTATGCTTGTGAGTAAGAGAGAATTGAGTGAGGGAGGAAGCATGCTGGGTGCATTCTTCCCCAACTGGGGATCCTTCTTATAGGTAAAAAAATAAAGGCCAAGATGTGGATGACAACTTTTTTTAAAAAAGAGAAAATTTTGGCTATTTAAAAAAATGTATATTTTTATTGATTTCAGAGAGGAAGGGAAAGGGAGAGAGAGAGAGAGAGAGAGAAGCATCAATGATGAGAACCATTGATTGGCTGCCTCCTGCATGCCCCCCACTGGGGATGGAGTCCGCAACTCGTACATGTGCCCTGACTGGGAATCGAACTGTGACCTCCTGGTTCATAGATTGTCACTCAAACACTGAGCCATGCCAGTTGGGCATGGCCATTTTTATCAAGTAATTTGTGCAATGTTTAGCATTTAGTTTTTGCTGTTGCTGTTTTACACGTTTGGGTGATGCTTGTGTCCATTCTGTAACATGTTTCAAATACTTAAATTTTTATTGAGATATAATCCTATATAATAAAAGTGTAGTATGCAGAAGCATTGATCAGACCGTCAAACCTCTGGGAACGTAGGGGAGGGTGGAGGTAAGGGAGAGAGATCAACCAAAGGACTTGTATCATGCATCTAAGCCTAACCAATGGACACAGACACCAGGGGGGTGAGGGCATGAGTGGGTGGGGTGGGGGGGCAATGGGAGGATAAGGACACATATGTAAGACCTTAATCAATAAAGAAAAAAAAGGGTAGTATGCAAATTATCTTCTTGACTGGGAGTTCATCCAGGAGTTCTACCAGGGGGCGGGGCCGGCTGGGGGAAGGAAGGGAGTACCAGGCCGGCAGCTGGCAGCCGCCAGGAACTCTGCCAATGCACAAATTTTGTGCACTGGGCCTCTATTTGACATATAATATGTTAGTTTTAGGTGTACAACATAATGATTTAATATATGTGTACTAGGGCCCCAGTGCATGAATTCGTGCACCTTGAAAGGAACAGTGGGCCGAGAGGCTGCAGTGGGCACAGAGGCGGGTCTCGGCCCATCCTCCACGCCCCTGCCCGGCCCCTCCTGCTGCTGCCCCCAGTACCCGGTATGCCAGCAGCCCCACTCCCACCACCGCCACTCACACACACTGACGGCACCAGCCCCGCTTGCACCTGCAGCCAGCGCAGGCAGTGGGTGTGAGCGGGGCCGTCACTGGCAATGGGTGTGAGAGGTGGTTGCCAGCCCCAATTGCCCCTCAGGAGCAGGGGGAGATGGAGAAGCCCCGAGGGGCGATCGAGGCCGGCAACCACTGCTCGTACCCGCTGATGGCGCCAAGTGATTGGGGCCGGTGCCGAGCACTGGCAGCGGGTGCGAGCAGCAGCTCCAGCGCTGGCAATGGGTGCAAGCGGGGCCGGCGCCGGCAGCAGGTGTGAGCACTGTGTGGGACCCTGGTGCATGGGAGCAAAGAAATTTCAGTAACCACCAGAGGCTCGCCCTGATGACAGTGACCAGTGCCCTGCCTTGGTCGGGTGTCCCCGCTCACCTGCTCCGCCATCCCACCACAGCCGACACCTGCCATGTTCCGTGCACGCCCCCTGGTGGCCAGCGCATGTCATAGCGACCAGTTGTTCGGTTGTTCTGCCATTCGGTCTATTTGCATATTAGCCTTTTATTATATAGGATATTACGAAATGATCACCACAGTCAGTCTAGTTAGCATTCATCACCTCCCATACTTAATAATTTTTTTCTTGTGATGAGAACTTTTAAGATCTACTCTTTTAGTTACTCTCAAATGCACAATACAGTATTGTTAATTACAACTAACTTAACTCTCAAATACTTAAGTTTTGTTTCAGTGTGTTTACTCTCTTGTCTCGTCCAACACTTGTTTTCCTACCCAGCTCTCCTAGTCCATTATGCCATTGATAATCTGGACTTTGGTTCCTTCCTCTCTTTCCAGAGTCTGAACCAAGAGTTGTAAAATGCTTTGAGATTACACTATGTAAATGCTGTCTGAAAAGACAGGCACAATATAAATCAGAGATGGCCAGAAAGGCAAGCATGAAAATTGTGCCCTGATTTTTTTCCAGTAGCACACGATACAGCATTGATGAATTGCTGGGTATATTTGACAAATCTGGAATAGAGTTCATTGGAGAGCTGGGCAACTTAAAAATCAAGCTGCCTCCAGGAAAATTTATGAGGGGATTACTGTGTGCAGCCAACAGTAAACAGAGCACCAGGAACCCGGCTGAATTGATGAGGGGACCTGTTTCGGCTGAGCAGAACTTTCTTGAGTCAAAGTGACTTAGGGAGGAAATCATTTGTGATAAATAGAATGGATGAAAGAAATGAACATCCAGAATCTCTGGGGAATGGAACCAAATCCAAGGGCAATACTGTTTCCACTGCCATCATGGTCAAAAAAATCAGAACATGTTGTTCACACAAAAGGCCACACAAATAGAAAACAAACCTTGAGAAAGGATTCGGCCTCCCCGGTAATCACAGGAACGTAAAAGCACAACATCATGCAGTGCCAGTGAGCTGGTAAAACTAAGTTCTAATCGCAAAACCAAAACCTGGCAGGGCTTTGGAGAAAGCTCTCTGCTCATACTGACATTAATTAGTGCAATACTTCCGGGAAGCAACATGGCAAAGTGTAACGAGTCATAATGTAGCACATCCTCTGGCCTGCATTACATATTTTTGAGACCATATTCTGGAGAAATAACTCAAAAGAAGAACATGATGGGGGTTGGAGAGTGGACAGGAAAAAGAAAAAAAAATCTAAAAATGTTGAAATAAAAACATACTATGGGTGCAAATGAAATATATTAAGAATGATAAATGTGTGTATTATGAAAACAAGTAGAAATGTTGATATAAAATAATGCTAAGTAAAAAATAGCTGGGCTTAAGTTTTGTGAATACTGACTGTTGGTATTTTTTTTCCCTTTATTGAATAAGATATTACAAATATGTCCTTATCCCCCCAATGTCCCCTCATCCCCCCAATCCTGCCCTCACCCTCACCCCCTGTTGTCCACATCCATCACTTATGCTTATATGCATGCATACAAGTCCTTTGGTTGATCTTTCCCCCTAACCCCCACCCTCCCTGCTTTCCCTCCGAGTTTTGAGCATCTGATCGATGCTTCTCTGTCTCTACACCTGTTTTTGTTCATCGGTTTACGTTGTTCATTATAATCCACAAATGAGTGAGAGCATGTGATATTTACCTTTCTCTGACTGGCTTATTTCACTTAGCATAATACTCTCCAGCTCCATACATGCTGTTGCAAATGGTAGGAGTTCCTTCCTTTTTATAGCAGCATAGTATTCCATTGTGTAGATATAACATACTATGGGTGTAAATGAAATATAATATTATTAAGAATGATAAATGTATTATGAAAACAAGTAGAAATGTTGATATACAATAATGCTAAGTCAATAATAGCTGGGCTCAAATTTTGTGAATACTGACTGTCGGTATGTTTTTTTTAAACCCTAAGCAACAATGAAGCTAGAAAGAGATTATTCAGTTTTGTTATATGGCAGGGCAAAAAGTGAAGTAGATTTTCTGTTGCTTTGGTGTTTGTGTTTCTCTCTCATTACAAAATTGTTTTAAAACACAGTTTTAAAGGCTGCCCCCTGTATTGTACCTTATCAAGCGACACCTCCATCATGCAGTTTCTGACAGCCGCGCAGATGTTAAACACGATCTGCAGGAGCATAGAAACAGCGTCTCAGAGCTGCACACGTTCTCTGATTATCAGAGAGGGAACGTGGGATTGCCAAGAGTCTCGAGTGGTTGTAGGAGAAAATCATGCGGGGGTGGGATGGGGGGGAGCTCCCTGGTTGGCTCACGTGATGCCAGAGGCTTATCTCCATGGATCCGGCGCTGGGAAGTGAGGGAGGCCAGTGTGAGAGGGAGGAGGTAGGTGAAGTGGTAGGTCCCTTTTCTACTTCTGAGAACCTTCCCCCTTCATTAAGCCATTAATTTCAGCACCATAGGCCTCCTTGTCCTCTGGTCTGCTCCTTCTTGTCCCACAAGCTTGGACCCTCTGATAGTTATTTTTGCTATTCTATCCACCTCTCACAGCAACAGTAATCCTGATAAAATACGGTTACACATTTCCTCCATGTGGCCAGATGTTCTTCAGGGTTTAGGCACAGACTTCATTTTATTTAACAGTGGCCATTTTTCTTTTTGTCCTTGCGCCTGTGTAAGCAGCAAAGACACAGAATTTTGCTTCAATAGGCAGTTCAAAGTCAGAGTGTGGTGGGCCTGGGTCAACACCATTTGATTTCATTAGAAGATTAAATATGTGCCTGAGACCCAGCATCCCCCCCCCCCCGCCCGCCCCAGGTGCACACAAAATGCTTCATTAGCATGCGCTGGTCAGCAGAGGAGAGAATGGGCAGGGACTTCCCAGAATTTTCACCTGAGAAGTTGGTACAGAATTCTCAGGGAGGTTTCCAAATTCTTTCTTCCCTCTCCCATATTTTTCTTCCCTCTTTTCCCCTCCACAAATTAGAGGCTTTCAAGCTTATGGGTAATGTTTTTTTGAGCATATGCTATGCATCAGGCATGCTTACTTATATTACCGTATTTACTCTTTACAAACACCCTGTGAGGTAGATGGTACAGTAATTATCCCCACTTGATGCTGAGGAAACAGGCACAGAAAGCCGGAGTGGCTTGTCCAAGTTCATGACATGATAGAACCAACCTCAAGCCCAAGCAGGTGGCCCAAGGTGCAGGCTCCTGGCCACTGAGCTACCCTGCCTCATGACAGTGAACCAGATGTACTTTCACATGCTCTGGGAAGAGAAGATCAAAGTCCGAGTGAGGTGTGTGTGTGTGTGTGCTAGTGCGTGTGCGTGTGTGTGTGCTATTGTTCTGTCATTTACTCTGTGATTACACCAGTTTGCCTACCGGCTCCATTTCTCAGTTCTTTCATTTCTAAAATTGCAAGAACATTAATAGCACTTAGCTGCCTAGAGGGTTGTTGTGATGATTAAATGTGCTAATAAAGTCCTTGGAACAGCGGCTGGCGCATGGTTATTTCACACCAGCCATTATCATCATTGCCATCACTCATGCCGGCATTTGGGAAGCACTGCTCCCCCTCTGTCCGCTGAACTGGTGGTGATGAAAATAGCATTTCCAACAAGCTCCCGGGAGCCACAGCTTGAGAACCACCGCGGGAGATTCCAGAAGCTCCCCTTTCCTAGTAGCTTGGGTTCCATTTCTTCCCCTGAGCTCTGTCCCTATAATACTTGCACTTCCTGTCTTTACTTAGACCGAGGGGACCCAGCTTACAGGGCTGTCAATAATCAGTGAAAAGCATGCCCTCTGAGCCTCGCCAGGAGCCTGGGTTTCAGCAGGGTCGGACAGGGAAGTTTCAGCCAGAGGAAGACGCAAGCTGGTGAGAAGACTGGACTAGCACATGCTGTATGCAGGGCAGGCCCAGAGAGCCACCTGGCAGAGTGGCTGCGTGAATAAAAACAGCAGATGATTTGGGGAAGTCATAGGAGGGGAGAGAAAAGAATCTTGTTCCCTGGAAGAAAATGTCCTTTGAGCAGAGATGGAGGTGATGAAAGAGAGGAGAAGAGAGAGGGACCCTAATTACAGCATTCGTGATAGGAATTGTGGGTTTGTAGGAAGCAAAAGCTGGATGCTGCACGTTTGCAAGTTGGTCTGATACAGGGAGATGACAGCTTATCTTTTTCAAAGTAACTGGTTATATTGCACAAAGAGAAGTGGGAATTGTAGTCATTTTCCTACCACTGGGGAGGGAAGGGAGTGAGGGGTAAATTGGGCTATTTGGGGTCCTTATATTTGTGTGGCTGTGGGGGTCTGAATTCTCTCCAGCGCACTCTCTGCCTTAGGGGGGAGAGCGTGACAGGGCTCCCCGTCCAGGACTCCAAACCCTCCTCGGAGCTGCACCGCCTCCTAGTAACTGGAGAGGCTTCTTGCCCAATGCAGACAAGCTCTGACAATAGGTTCCACTTCTAGGCTGCAAGAGCAGAGCTGGCGTGTGACTCCAAGTCCAGGTCCACGTGCCCCCTGGATTCATTCAGTCAAAGCTCTTAGTTGCTGCAACTGTGCTGGTGGCTGTTTCTGGGGATCCCAGAGCCCCAGGCGCTGTCATGAGGTGGCTCACAGCAAGTCTCATTGCACCGAGGCAGGAAGGCTGTGAGAAAGTTACCTCTGGGGGGAGGGAGAAGGCGTGCGCTGGTGCTCTTGTCAGGTGGCCTGCTCTGTGCTCAGTCCCTGCAGGCTCTCAAAGCTGTGCTGGGCAGGCTGCACCTGTGTCAGC